TGACATCAGCAGAGGGAATGCCTTCAGAGATGGGGTCAGGACTGATGTTAAAGATAGGATTGTAATAAGGATTATGGGTAAGATTGGGGGTTGGGTTATTCGTAGTAGTAGGGTTGGATTATGTGTGGTATTAGAGTTTCTATTATGTGTAGGATCAGGGTTGGATTATGGGTAAGATTAAAGTTTGATTTATGCGTTGAATAAGGAATAGGAAAAGGGTGGAATATGGGTTGGTTTAAGAATTGGATTAAGGGTTGGATTATGGGTTTGATTAAGAGTTGGATTAGGGGCATGGTGAGAGGAAGAGGTATACATGTGGGGTATAAAAACCAAAGCAAGATTAGGTGCTCACTATAATAAAAGGCAGCAATAACCCAAGTGGCTTGACAAAGGCCTCTGTGTAGACCAAAACTTTGCATTTTCAATAAGTCTGCCTTTTGGAAGAAACCTTGAGTGCCTGGACCTAATTTCTACTAAATTGAGTTTTGCCAACCCCTGTCTTTGATGCATCTGGTTTTCGCTGTGGGATTGCAGTAACCTTTATTTTGAATCCTCACTACAATAAAAGCCAGAAAAAGACCGCAATAACCCAAGCAAGGATTCCTAAACCTTATCACAAAAATAGAATACCACAAACTCAAAATGTTGGAAAACCCAACACAGGAGAGGGCCCAGCAGCTTGCCCTTTATGCAGCCGGTGCGAGGCCCCTCCAGTCAGTCCCAAACCTTATCTATCATCTATTAACGTGTTCCTTTTACAAGAATTATTACACAAACACCCACCACCCAGTTTGGTGGAATTTCTGGTTTTACGGAAGAGTTACACACAAGCATAATTTATATGCCATATGGGGTAGGTCTCAGGGAAACATTCTTCTAAGCAAAGGTTGATCATCGACCTTTCTGCTCCCCACTCTCTAATTCTGTCAGAGGAATTGTCCATCCAATATGTCACAAGTGACAATGCTGTAGATGCTATCCTGTCAGCAGGGGTCGGAGCATGGTTCAATAAGACAGACATAGTGAACGCTTTCAAGCTCCTCCCTATCCATCCTTCGCTATGGCATCTGCATGGTGTTAAGTGGCAAGGGTTATACTATTTCTTTTCGCGTCTCACATTTGGTTCAAAAAGCAGCCCCATGATTTTTTATATTCGCTAAGACATTGTATTGGCTTCAACTTAACATCTGTAGATGCCCCTCGGTCATTCATTTTCTGGACGATTTCCTGACAATCGAGAGTAACCAACTACCACCTAGTAGCCTTAAAACAGCAGTTCCACTGCTTGAACATTTAGGTGTTCCAGTTTCCCCGACTGAAACTGAGGGTCCTGATACAGTGATTAACTTCCTGGGGGTAATTTTAGACTCGGTACATACGGTATGTGTCAGGAACAGAGTTACACTAACACACAAACCTAAAGGTAACAGTAAAGGTACATGTACCGGTCCTTAGAGTGGCTAGGTTAGTGCCTGAGACAGATATATGAAATGTCTGCAAGCAAACAGAGAATAAATGAGAGACAGGCATAGGTCAGGATTACATGAATACACAGAATGGATAGCCAGGACAAGATCAGGATAACAGAATAAGAATAGTCAAATAAGTCAGGATCAGAAAAAAGGAAATCAAATTCACTGTATAAACACAATCTCAGGTAACAAAAACCATGACAGGGCAAGGAAACAAGGACAACCAGGAAGTATATATGCCCTATATTGGGTTGTGATTGGTCACAGAGGACTGTAATGTCACAATCCTGGACACATCATCAAAAAGCGAAACATGGGCTGACACTATAAAAGGAGACTAATGGGAGGGGTCCACATTATATATGATGTCATAAGGCACCAGGAAGTTAGGGATAAATGTGTGTGCATCAGAACTTAGAAAATACATAATTTCTGTGCTCGCACCTCGCCCGGACAGGTATTGTGACAACATGCAAGCCAGCCTTCTGAAAGAGAAGATAGAGCGCATCTTGTCATACATCGATCAGTATCTGAAAACTGGTTCATGCAATTGCAAAAAAATGCAATCTCTTTTGGGTTCCCTCAACCTTGCAATGAGAATTATTCTGCATATCCAGATTATGTAGCCTACTGCCCCATTTTCATTCGGATACTTGCTTTATTGCACTGGACCAACATGCCAGACTTTCTACTAAAATGGAATGGGGAAAGTATGTTCATCCCCTTATTAACCGACGAGTCCCTTACAGTTTGGACAGATGCGGCTGCAACTTCCGGGTTCACAGTAATTTTTGCCAATAAGTGGTTACGGGCAGGATGGCCAGAGGAAACTAATAACATCTCGGAATTTACTACCACTTCAGCATTATTTTAGCTCTACCCAATGGTGGCAGCAAGTAACTTGTGGCTCGTTATGGTCAGGTCAAACTGTCAAGTGTTTCTCCGATAACCTGGCTACAAGCTACATTATCAACAAAGGACTTTTGGTGTCTCTGACCATAATGCACTTCATGAGAAAACTGTCACGGGAGTCGTACCCCAACACGGAGGAAAGAGGAAACCACAAAAGGTGGATCCGAAAGATTTATTACCAAGTCTTAGATTGGCCGGACTTAACGTAACCATACAACAAGAATCAGGGTCAAGAATAAATCAAGGACCGGAATAACAGAAATACTCAGAGTCAAGACAAAGCCAGGTCAGGATACCAGAAATCACAAGTCAAATACGAAGCCGAGGTCAAACACAGGAAATCACAAGGGAATCTATAGGAGCACTAAATGAGGATCTAACAGAAACCACAATAGGGCAATGAATGGGGGCTTAAACAAGCCTTAAATAGGCTTACCTATGTTCTGATAGGTCCATGTCATCACTGCGATCCAAAACAGATTAGGATCGCAATGATAACATGGTTACTTTTAGAGTGGGCGTGATGTCATGTCCACATTTATATATAGATGTCCTGCTGCACAGCCGCGTAGTTCTGTCAGACCACGCGGCAGGAGGTCCCTCGTGCATGGATCCCGACGGTCATGTGGAGCGGTCAGACTGAGCAGCAAGGGAGGTCTGTGCAGCTCGGCGGAGGTAAGTAAGACTACATTAACTCTGCAGGAGGATAAGCCAGCTGCATTAGTCTGAGGATGGTAAGCAGAGGAAAAGGACAAGTTAGTACTCATTTCAGAGCAAAATGCCCTCCAGAATGGAGAAACAAATTGACTATCTCTGTCAGATACAATTTTTTCCGATATGCCGTGTAGACTGAATACCTCCCTGGTGAAAATCCTAGCCAATTCTGCTGAGGAGGGGAGTTTCCTCAGGGGTATGAAATGAGCCATCTTTAAAAACCTATATATGACCATGAGAATAACAGTATGTCCACTGAAAGCTGGTGGTTCTACAATAAAATACCGGTGCTGCAAAATGCAATGCAAATATGCGTAGTATATATAGAGACAAATATATAAGAAACAAAAACTCCAATGGTGAAGTAAGTACTGTATAAACAAAAAAGAGAATAAAGTAATGTACTTACATTTAGTAGAGCAAGACTTGCCCTAGTTAAAACAGGATAGCAAATAGCTATAAAAAGCAAACCTTAATTAAACAAAATAGTAAGCAGAGTTCCATTGTTGGTGATTCCGATTGACTAATAAGACATCTGATTGGATCGCATGTATTGCCACAATGGTGTACGTTGTGTTCCACACGCTGATGATATGAGTCTCTATATAGTCCGTGGAAGAAAGGTGAAAACTCCACCTCTTATAAAGAGGATATAATTGAGGTGTATATCTCCAAAGTAGGAATGGCTCAAATGGCCATATTACAAAAATGCAAAGATGTAGATATGTGCATTAGAAATATAGCGATCATAGTCTTGATATATAGAAAGAAACCTATATATTTACATATCAGTAATGTGTAAATGGCTAGTGCTGGAAAGAAAACTATATATTTTAGAATGTAATAAAAATATAAATAAAATAAAATAGGTGGCTGACATGTGAGTATGGATATATAATATGTTATATACTATCAATATAACCATAAAGAATAATAAGCAATGATTAAATGTTGAATAAAGAATAATAAATTCAAGAAAAAATAGAGACACTAGTCATTTACATAATGCAGGTGTCTACATTTGATGCCAATGATCATAGTGTTACATGGCTGAATAAGTCTAAAAATTACAATATATTAATTAAATAATTTAATTTAATTATTACATTTTTACATTACACAGACCTATAGGGACTTTTCTGTGTCCTCTGGGCCGCAGGCCCATAGGCTACTTTATTCTATAAGTCTACAATTTGAGGGTCACCCCTTTTTTGTCCCTTTCAACACACTCTAGATGCCATCTCTGGGAACTAGTTTTTTCTCTTTTTTATGGCTGAATAAGTGACATGGATTTCAAGTGATATCCAAAATGGGAGAGAGTATGAATATAATCCAAAAAATGCACATACTTGTCCTATTCTTATCCCCATTTTACTTCCTTTTGCAGCCCTCTAGTCCTTTCCAGGACTTTTTTTTAATTTTTTTTAATTTTTTTTTGCAGTGCAATATAGAATGACATACAGGCCTGAGGTGCCCCAAAGGCAGTCCTCTGGCTGAGCTTTACTGTAGATTTGACATGCACAATTTTTTAATATAGAGAACATAAGGAAAACAGCGGTTACATCCCTCTATGCCACATTTAGGAAGAGACATTCCACAAGAGAGTTAAGCATAGAGTGGAGCAACAGATAAACGTTTGACTAGCCAGGCTTTAGGTATATGTTTTATAACAGGCTATGAAACTGGCAGCATATTGATAAAGTAGGTTTGACAAATTAGTGATTCAAAGCTAGGTTACGGTATCGCTGGGTGCAGACATAGTGAAGCTATGCGTGGTATGGCATGAAAAGGAAAGTACAAGACACAGATGCAGAGTATAACTATTAGGCATGTGCTACAGTATAAGGTATGAGTTCACTCTGATTTGGAGGGCTCAGTGTGTGGCCGTCTGCTCGCTTAGAATCACAGTTCCAGCGGTGGCCTCAAGCCCTGCCATGCCGCGATGTCGTCAGCCAATTTCCTTTGTGGGGTAGTCGCGTGTGCCTTCCAGCAGATCATGGTAAGCTGTTGTCGCGGTCTCCCTGCGCTTTCGGCACCGTTCACCCGTGCGGGCCTCTGCATATCTTGGCGGCTGGGCTGCTTGCTGTTTAGTTCGTTGTTTGGCCCTGTGCTGGCTGCAGTGAGCATCCAGGCGCTGCAAGCTGTGTTGGGGATGCTTGGTGCATAGGGTCTGCGTTCGCTTGTGCCGGCCGCCATCCTCCGTCATCTTGGGTGTACCTTGCTGCCTCATGGTGATCGGAAGCAATGGTGGCCGGCTGCCTGTGGCACCCAGCAAGGACCGGGATATCCCCCGCTGGTCCAGAGGGGGGGGGTAGAGGTGAGTACGGTGAGGTTGCCATCTGCAAGTTTACCATCCAGGAGAGCGGCCGCCTCTCCCTGGCTCGATCACAGTTAGGCCTCAAGCTGGAAACGTGGGGACCCGGTGAGTTGCGGGTACAAGTTTGGTATCAAAACGTTTTCCCGGGTCTCCCCCACTCTGTAGTCACCCTCCCAGCGGTGTGCGTGCAATGATTTGGGGTGTATCCCCCGTTTTAGTGGCTGGCTTGCAGGAGCTATCATGCAGCACATCCACTCTGATAGGGAGCCAGGCTGCGCCCCCTCCAGGACTTTTTAGAGGCATTTTAGTGCCCAAAAGTTCAGGTTCCCATTGACTTCATTGGGGTTCGGGTTTGGGGTCAAGTTCAGGTCAAGTTCGAGCCCGAACTCAAACTTTTTTTTTTTTTTTTGTCAAATTTTTATTTTATTTTCAGTCTTCATAATGGGATACAAAAAGGAAGAGGGTAGGGGAACTTACATCGTTTGATATTATTACCCTATGCAAGGGGCGATACCTGTACAGTTATGCACCACATTAAAGTTACAGTTTCCATAAATTCTCTCATTATTATTTGTCATAGAGTCTAATTCAGTGTCAGCTTGTGTTACTGATTTACCTCAGATGTCCCTTCCCTCTTTAACAATACATATGGGGGATAACTGGAAACAACTAACAAGGGAGGGGGGGCGAAGGGGGGGGGTCGGTCTGTTGCATGCAAATTTTATAGGCGAACTGAGTGGCCGGTGCGCCTGTTAAGCGGGTATACCCGTATTCTGCCGCCACATTTCCCATTTTTCCCATGCCGCAGTCCACATTTTATTGCTGGGTCTCATCTTTCTTGTTTCAACTTCATATTTTTTAGTGGTGTCTATGTCCCTTAGGTATTGCTGGATGTCCGGTGGGTCTGTTTTTAGCCATGCCCTCCCTATTGCCGCCAGGGCCGCAATAATGAGATGATAAGTTAGGTATAGGTCTGCTTTTTGGAGGTCTTGTGGTATCACCAGCAGCAAATACGTTTCTGGTGTGTGTGGTTGTATTTTACCTGTGAGTGATGTAATCATGGTTGAGACCTTTCCCCAAAAGGTCTGATGCCTGGGGCAAGACCACCACATGTGGATCATGGACCCCAGCTCAGACTGACATCTCCAACATGACTGAGGTCTGTTCCTATCGATTTTGTGAAGTTTAGCCGGTACCAGATACATCCTATATAACACTTTCCTACTGATTTCAATGTGTGTGGTGCTCAATGTGAGAATTTTGTGTGCTAAAAATATTTTTGATCATAGATCTTCTGGTAAGGCTCTGCTTAAGTCTTTCTCCCATGCCTTTTTAAAAGTAGGTTCTGGGGATTGCTCATATTTTGTGATCAATTGATATAGAGTCGATAGCATTTTGGGAGGGGGTTTAGAAGTTGTGCATAGTTGTTCCATCTCTGTCAGCAACGTGCTATGATTCTGAGGTTTATTCAGCCCATCATGTTTATCTACCCAGGATTTTAATTGCTGGTATGAAAAGTAAGCCTTCCCTGGGAGATTGAATTGTTGGGTAAGGGATGGGAAATCCGCCAAGCGACCGCCGGTCGTGATTTGCGATAAGTATATGACCCCATGTTTGTTCCACACTTTATAATCAAAGCCGGGGATAAGGGCTTTGTAGGCTTGAAGTGTCAGGGCTGGAGACGCATACGAATCTAAGCTGCCTTTCCCAAGGAGCTTGTAGCGGAACGCCAATAATAAATCCATGAATTCCGCTGGTTCAGGAAATAATCCACAGTCAAGCGCTGAAACAACAAGGCAATATCCCCAACCTCCCAGTAACTGGACGAGACACAGTTCTGAGAGTCAACTGAAATCCTTTCATTCGGCTGGACAATTTATACAAGTCCCCATGCAAGGGGAGTCCCTTCCCAAGGGCACTCCCAGAGGGGACTACATGGGGGACTTACATGACAACATATTTCTCCCATCAGGCACTGCTGCACGAGAGGGACCCTCCTCCTAGAACACACCGTTAAGTGGATTATCCCCTCGTGCAGCAGAACCGACAATTTACCCAAAAATCCATAACTTGGTTAATATACGGTGGATTTACACGAATGGACGTTCGGTAGATAGCTGGGGTCTGAGCGCATCATTCGTGAGATTATCGCTCAGATCCCAGCTAAAATAACCGAACGCCGCACGAAAAACACATTTCTTATAAAACATATGAAAAGGACCGATTGCTTTCAGGGAACAAAATCCCGAATGGCCCGAAACTCCCGAACGTCCTGGAAGCTCAGCGGTGTTCGTGCCGTCGAGTAGCCGTTTTTAATACCATGCGCTCGACGACCTAGCACCGCTGAGAGAACAAAGGATCCAAGATGGCCGACCGCCGCATGGTCGGTAGTCGAACGACGGCCACCCAGGAGAGCCTCTAATTACCGATTGCAACATTGTTGCAATCGGTTAACTAGCGCCACACGCCTCTAAGTGTGTGGGCTATTAGGGGTATTGCGTTCGGTTCACGAACGGCCTTCCAAAGTGCCGTTCGTGAAACGAAAGAAAACCCCCATACAAACCGCCATTTGCATTCGGCAAAAGGGCAAATACAGGCAATGCAGAAAATACATATAGCATACACATACAGAGTAAAGCACATATCTCCCCAGACCTATAGGCAACCCTTAAAGGCATAGTCTCTGGTTATCGTCCAAGTGGCTAGGTTTGCCACAGAGCTCATCCCAGGTTTGGAGAGTCGCTGCTGTTGTCGGACTAATGTTATTGCGTTTGGGTCTATACTCGTTAGGTAGCCCAGCCAGCGCTGGCATTGTAAGCCCCGCCGCCTGAGCAGATTCTATTCGACTCCATGATGGTGGAATGGTATAGTGAAACGTGTTAATTAGTGTGCTTATCATGGCTGCCTTATAGTATCGTGCTACATTTGGCAGAACTCGAACTTTTTGACAAAGTTCGGCCGAACTCGGCGATCCCGAACATCCAGGTGTTCGCTCAACTCTAGACATTAGTCATTTACATAATGCAGGTGTATATATTTGATGCCAATGATCATAGTGTTACATAGCTGAATAAGTGACATGGATTTCAAGTGATATCCAAAATGGGAGAGAGTATGAATATAATCCAAAAAATACATACAGAACTGTATAGCCATAGGACAGTTTGATAAGAGGAGGGTTGTAGTATGGATGGGAGACTGAATATTGTGAAGATAAAAAGTAAGACACTAAAAAAGATTAGGTACATAATATAAACATTTTTTTCAAAAAAAGGGTACCTATGGGGGACTGTTAAAAAATCATTATAAAAAATTGAATAAATCAAATTCTATGTTAAGACCATTTGGGTGTAAAGTGTCCAAATAATACACCCATTCCATTTCAGTCTTCCCAATCTTTTTTACAATATCTCCTCCTCTCCAGTGGTTTTTTCCAATTGCAATTCCTGTGAATTGTTTGTGTTTGGTATTTTTATCGTGCATACAAAAATGTGATGATACAGAATGATTTTTAAAACCCTTTTCATTATTTCTGCAGTGTTCTTGCTGCAGTGTAAATAAATCAAATTCTTGCTGTTGCAGGTGATTAGATCTTTGATATTATATATATTTCCTGTGCTATTAGATTTAAAAGTAGTAGTTACTTTGGCTGTTGGTCTGGTCTTTTTACAGGCTATGCAGCAATTACATTTATAAAAACCTTTTTTACTTGTCATAAAACTATCAAGTTTCTTTGGACTGGTTCTTATATAATTTTTTGTTAAGTGCATCTTTAGATTGGGTACGCCTCTAAATATCACTCTAGGTTTATCAGGAATAATGTTTTTAGTAGGTTGTCTTCTTTCAACAGGTGCCAATGTTTGTTTATAATGCTTCTGAATTGTTTGTTATTATTATAATCTATAACAATGGGTAAAGAGAAATCTTGTTTTTTTATGGAGTTTCTCTTTATGTATAAATTCTCTTCTATTTAAAATTAGAGATTGGTTAATGGTGGATTCTATACACGCAGTTCCATAGCCTTTTTGAATAAATCTTTTTTTCAAATCATTGGCTTGTGTAGTGAAGGTAGAGGTTTCAGATCAATTTATCCTCAATCTCATCATCTGGCTCTTTGGTATACTATCCAACCATACTTTATTATGGCAACTTTTAGTATTTATATAATTATTTACATGAACCTCTTTAAAATGTGTTTTAGTGTGTATCTTGTTGTCTTTAATGTATATGTCAAGATCAAGGTAAGTGACCATAATGTCACTAAAACCCACAGTTAAACTTATGCGTTAAAAAATATTGTTTAAATGGAATGTAACCCCTGTTTTTATGTACAATATTGGTAAAAAGCTGACCGATTTATGTTGACGGGGATGTGGTTAACAAGGGAGGTATCTACATATGTGGTGGGAAAAAATTTTAAGCTTTTGGGGAAAATATAGAACTTGGACATTTTTATTATCTAAATTAACAACTGGACTACCCAGTCATTCACAGGAACTAGTATTTCTTATCACATTGGCAGCACGTAGATGTATAGCTGCCAGCTGGCTAAAATTAGAACCACCATCTGAGAGGTTGATTTAAAAATTCAAGAAAATTTAATTATGGATGATTTATCTTTAAGAGTTAGACAGTCCTATTCTACTTTTAGCAAAGTCTAGGACCCCTGGAAGGCATATATTAAAAGGAAAGACAAATTTAGATAGAGAGGTGTTTTCCTTTTTTTTTTTTGTGGGGTGGTGAATTTATTTTATTTTAAATATAAAATATACATTGCTGAATAACTTAATTCTGAGGTATTTGACCTAAGAATCAACTCTATAGCTATAAGTAATGATTTATGTTACAGATTGTATAACGTGTTCATTTTTAAAAGTTA